ACTACAACTAATAGTTTTGCCCTTATAGGGTTCTAGTTTCTAACTGGTACTATCGGAAAGATTCTATTTTTCCTATTTGGGACTTCAAGATGGGTTTCCAGTCCTTACACCCAGATTGGGTAAGTTCCCAGTCCTTTATTGGTTCCTCATCAGCACCTTTTTGTAGGACTCATATCAGATTTATATCCACCTATTGCCACCTAACCAGATATATTTCTTGATGTAACATAGTATGTTACACCAATGCCAGTACCTAGGGCTACAGGGCCAGAGTGCGGAAAGCAGTACCCCAACTTCACAGGATATGGTTGACCGTTATACAGGTCATATAACACTAGATATATTTATTATATATTCGAAAATCATCACCAGTAGGATTCGAACTCTAAACCTGATCATCTCAGATGCAACAACTTAACCACTTCACTAAGTCACCACATCCTTATTATTATTATTTTTAATATTCCTAAAACTAAATTTCTTAACTCTTTTTAAATTTCATCATTTAAATCTCATATTCAAAACTTCAACACATAGTATTCAGTCTATTTTAAAGCTTACCAAAAATAATTTACAAAACTTAATGAAGACAAAGTCAGAAACTATATCAAATACCAAATTGCAACTATACTTGCTAAGGAATGCAAAAAACTTCTACTCCCAGATTTTTAAATTACAGAACCAACATTTCTCCAAAATTACTTCTTCTTAATCACTAAAGCTGCACTTTTAATATTTATATATGCAAAAACAAAGACTGCAAACTTCTACTTAATTACACAGAACATGTTTTTAAAAATATATTAATTCACTTCTTTAACAAATCTTTTGAAACCTTCCCAGCACTACCAAAAGACAGCTCAACTCCTAAAACTACACTATTTACTTCAGACTATATAATTTTTCAACCAAACCAACAATATACAGCAACTTTTAAAAAGACTATTCTACTCCATACATTCAATAAACTTGCAATCAAAGCAGACCAAAAGTTTGCTGAAATTAACAACTCAAAACTAATTCTAAATAAACTGCATTCTACTTTTATTCTTATCTTAAAACTTATCTAAATATTGCAGCTAAAAATAACAGTATTTTAGACCTCAAACTATACAAAACTTTAGAAAAAATTATTACACCTACTATTAGTCTACATATTCTAATATGAATAATTTTCTATTTTTATATTCAAAATTAACCAAAATTCTCTATTTCACAAATTTAACTTGACTACAATCTAAAATATCTTATAGAAGTAAAAAAATTTATCATTAAACACTATAATATTAAAATATCTTCAATACAGGATAACACTCTTTTCATGTCTTTAGCTACTACCTATAGTTTATTTTTTCAATAAATTCTTCTATAGATAATATAAATACAGCTGTCACTTCTTAAATAATAATGTTTTTCACTAAAAGTGTGCCATTTTTGAAAGAGAATAATGTAAGTAGATGGGCAAAAAAGCCTATTTACATGAAGAACCAAGCTAATGACAGTTAGATCTAATGTACAAAGCAGACTATAGTATCCTCTGCAACTTGAAAACTGAGTATATAGTGAGCACATCTATAGAAGGAAAATCTAACTTTTCAGATAACAACTCATCACATCCTTCTGAGAATTCTCTTTCAAAAAAATTTTTTATATCTACTTTCTAAAAATTACAAATATCTAACATTTTTATCAATATTCTAACAAATTTTAAAACTACTAATGTTGATTAAAATCAGCAACAGATGATGCAAATAATACTATTGACTCATCTATTATCAAAACCATCAAAGGAAAAAAACTTTATTCAAATTTCTGATCTTCTAAAAATATATAATTCTTTAACATATATTAACAAATTCTTACCCTTTTATAACCTACAACTTCTACTCTCACCACAATCAACAGAACAATATATAAAAATCTCTATTAAAACATCTAAAAACAATATATATGAAAAAGCACATATTCACCTTCTACAAAAAACTAATCTCTTATCTAACTTCATTAATATCTCTTTTGAAAATCTTACAAACTTTCAAAATATTTCACTCAAAACAAATTATACTACAACAAGATTCAAAATACCATTTCTCTCAAAATATCAAAACTTTCTCTCATTTACAACACTGATATCTTCTAAACCTTCCTTTATTACAACACATATAAACAACAACATCTTACTTTCTAAAAATCCAAACATTACAAAATCAATCAAAATACATTTACTAAATGTTAACAGTCTTCTTTATAACTTCAAACAACTGAGTCTAATTGATTTTATTTCAAAAAATCAAATTGATATTTTCAGAATTTCAAAAACATATCTATTTAGCAAAGAAGCAAAGCTCTCAATACTCTCACAAAAACTTACAAACTACAAATGCTTTTGAACACCAAATAATGCTTGCCAAGATGATGTAGGAATATTAATACACAAATTACTTGCAAAGCATATCAAAAAAATACAGACTTACAAAAACTTTTTTTAAAAATTGATATATTTTTCAAAAACCTTCATATTAAACTAAACTAACTTTACTTTTCAACTCAAAAAAAAATCAACTCTGAAAAGATATTCATCTATACTTTACTTCTATTCTTAATAAAACTAATTCTAATAGAAGACCTAAATGAAGTTCCAAATCCTAAACTAGATAGATTACTACAAAAAAACTCAACTACATTTGAATATTTTCTTCTAAGAATACTTAAATCTCTTCAATTTTATGATACCTACAGGCTCTTTTTCCTATCAACATTCACATTTTTATATATACATAATAATAGTCATAGTAGAATTGACCAAATATGAACTAACATTTATATTACACTTTTAGACTATGTTGACATTTTACTAAATTCATTTACTACAACTGATCAATCAATAGTATTACTCAAACTTACAATCAATATACTTAAAATTAATATACAACTTCAATTAAAAACCATCTATTAATGGAAACTTATACAAGATGAACAAATTGAAAGCTACCAAAATCATACTAAACAAAACCTTCAACAACTTCTTACAATTATTACCAATATTACTTATAGCTTAGAACTTAACAATACTTGAAATAAAATTAACAAAACTTTAACTAAAGCAGTCCAAAAACATATTCTATTTAAAAGAATTAAAATAAACTTATACCATAATGAATAGTAACTACTCTCTCTTTTACCACTATACAAATAACTAAAACAAGCAATTTTATTTAAATTATCTTTTAATAAACTTAATGTTTCACAAATATACAACTTATACATTAATAAATATTTACAAACATCTTACTACCATCCTTATACTCAATACAAATTATTAACAATTCTGACTTTACTATACTATTAAACTTACTCACTACAGAAATAAAAACCCTTAAAATACAAATCCATTAATAAAAATAAGAAAATACTCTAAAAAGAATTTAAAACAAATTGAAAAAAAAAACATCAACTTTTATCAAAACCCCAAAATTTTCTTTCAAAATATTTTAGTAAAACCAAATAATAGTATCAACTTAGACTGTTTATTATCTAACAATACACTCATTATTCAACCATCTGAAATAAAACAAGCCCTACAATCCCACTTTCAAAACTACTTTAAAAAACTACTGTATATACTAATAGAAATAAACTCAAAATTTTATGAAGTTTACAAATCTCATTCAGAAAATAAATCTCTTTTTAATAACCTATTTTCAAAAATCACTTTAGAGGAATAGAACAAAGTCATACATGACCTTTTAAACTAAAAAGCTGCAGACCCATCAGAAACAAATTATGAATATTTAAAATATCTAAATTCCAAAGTTCAAAATATTATTTGACTATTTTTAACAATATGTCTTTCATTACAATAAATACCAACAATATGGAAATCATCTAACATTTTTCTAATATTATAAAAATCTATATAGGACTTTACTCTAAATCAAGTCAGACTAATTTCTTTTATTGAACCTATTAAAAAATGTTTTACCAAAATTTTTATTACATGCCTTGATCAAATTATTAATTAAACCTACTAAATAATCTTAACTTTGTAGTAACCAAAAACTGTTCTATACACATTCTTATACAAATAATAATTAACACAATAGAATATTACAAAACTAACAACAAAGAAGCATAGATACTCTTCTAAGACATTTCAAAGCTTTTGATAAAATCAATATTAAATGCCTATTAGATGCTTGCAAATGTATTGGTATTCTCTAATATGGGCTCAATTTTATCGAATATTTATACCAAAATAGAAAAGCCAGAGCAATTATAGCCTATAGACCTACTGATCCAATTACACTTTATTTGGGCATAGAACAAGAAAAAACTTACTTTTTATTACTCTGAAAAATTTATTATGACTCTATTCTCAGTTACATAAACTCAAAATATAGTTCAAAACTTTTCAAAATATTATTACAATCTCTCTTAGAAACAATCTTCTCAACTATATCAACTTATACAACAATACTACCTCTTAGCTTTATAGATAATATAGTCTGATATTGCAAATCTAAAAATAATATGCAAGAGATTCTAGATAACATATCTGAACTATACCAACTAAACAATATTTAAGCTAACCCATCCAAATTAGACCTTATTCACATTCTACTTAATAAAAAAATATTATTCAATAGCACTTCAAATATAACACCTTTAAACTTTAACAATGAACCAATTTTACCTTGCAAATCCAATAAAATAATAAGATATCTAGGAATTTTTTTAGATGATAAAGGCTCTACTAACCCACACTCAAAAAAATTTTTAGCAAAACTTCTTAATTTATTCACACTATTCAATACAAAAAACTTCTTTCTATACAAATATTCTAACTATTTAATACTATTTTATCACTATTAATTGAATATTTATTTTAAATATATTCTCCTCTACAAAACAAACTCCAACAAACTCCAACAATTACCAAGTCTTTAACAAAATGCACTAAACATATGCTACACCTATCTACTAATACAAACAATAACATATTTACTAATTTACAACTACTCAACATTCCAACACTCAACAAACTTATGCTACAAGTTAGTAGCAGTAACTTAGAAAGATGTTTTAATACTAACATACTCTTAAACAAAATCTCTATACACTGGGTCAATAATTGGTTTTTTAAAATATAAAAACCATTTCTAATTCAGAATACAATTCTAACCAACTATAGGAAATCTACCAACTACATTATAATATCTTAACTTCATCACTTATACAAAAATAATACCTCTATTAATAACACTTATCTAAATCAATTAACAATTCATAAATACACTAATCAACTGAACAAT